CAGCTAGCAGATATCAGAAAATACCTAAAAGCTTGTCAAATGCTTTTGCTTGGAAGACCGCTGAAGTGGTAATTCATTGAGGAGACGGCAGGAAAGTCAGAACTGCCAGCAGACCCAGACGATGCAGCACTGGTCAAAACAACTGGAAAAAAAACTGGCAAATTTCTACTGGACTGGTAGTTACCACTGACTCAAGTACTACTACTACTGCTGCTATTAGTAATATCATTAGCATATTATCATGTTATTATTTCCTCCTACACAGTTCTGACTCATGCGGTGCAAAAGCGATAAAATTTCATCACTGAACAACCCACTGATATTATTGCTTCTGTGTCGACTGAAGCACGAGGAACTGTTGTCAGACACCGGAAATGATCAAATTTAAAAGAAATTCCTTAACTGCCACTGGGATCCTGTCTATTTTACACGCAAAAAGCAGTATGCAAGCGGCGTGGCTCATGTCGAAACAATTAAAAATTCGGCGAAAATGGAATCGGCCGGGGGAGGCAAACCTATCCAATACGCCTTCGGTAGTTTGACATCCAAGCTAAACTGGATGCCGCAGTCGGCTTATCGAAACGTAACCGATGCAGGAAAACAATATGTCAGCTCCCCCCTCTCTTATGCTTCATTTTTACTACGTCAATTCACAGCGGGTAAATGCGAAATTCGTTTAGTGGCAGGGGCGGGGGAGACCGAGCAAGCAGGGCAGGCTGAGCAAAACTCACGAGAAACGATTAATCTAACAGAACTGTGGGAGAAGAGGAAAAAAAAAACACGCTGTTATCATCATTTTTTATCAGCAACAGATAAAATTTCGAAAGAAAAGAATAGGAGGGAAAAAACCCGTTATCATCGTTAACAAGTCATGCAAACAGTGGGCACTGCTGCGCTACCACGGCTGTGTACTGTGATAAGAAAATACGAAAATTCCCCTAGACATCGATGCATCGCAGAAGCGCCTCGTAACAAGTGCAAAATCGATCAGTTACGATCGGACGAATATCCAAAACCACGTTAAAAAAACAAAAACTAAGTTTGAGGAAAGTAAGCAAAAACAGAAGTTGAAGTTAACGGGCCGAAACATGCGTAGGAAAACCCCTTCCAAAAGTTTCAGCTTCCTAAGCATTTTCGTTGCTAAATTGAAAAACTCAACCGAAATAGCCGAACACACACAAACATAAATACATACACATTTACACAATGTACAGACACACACACACACAAAATTATTTTTGACGTGTCGCTACGTGAGTTCGCAGGAGATTTGACTTTATTATAGGTCAAGCAACGGAGCAAGAGATGGACAAGCTGTACTGGGACAGGAAGTGAAAAGAGCCATCCGCTTACTTCTAAAGAACCCGCAAAAGAGGGTGACATCGACAGCCAGGCTTGTGATAGCATTCCGGCTACTTCCGAGTGCCTCCACCTTTCGAACAGAGTGAACCCTGAACGGGGGTTTTGACTGTGAACAGGCTCTGCGGACAGATAAGGGTGACCTGGCAGCTATCACTGGAGGCGACATCTTGGCGCTGAACAGCATGTACGCGGTCTGGTGGAAAATGAAGTAGAACGTCACCACATCCAATTCAACGACAAAATCCACAGGACCGAGGGAGGGGAGGGCTCTCGGCAAATTGCCTAAACAGACGGCACGAAGAAGCTCATTTTCTGTCGTTTAGTCACATGGCTGACTCAAAACACAACACATTTGATTTACACACTGTGAAAAACAACTCGCAGCACCCGCGCTGTAATAACACACCAGCAGCAGCAGCAGCGCACTTTGCCCGTCTCTGTTGAGAGGCTTTTGAACAAACATGGAACAAGAACTGCTAATTGCGATAGTTTGGATCCCGATTTGTGCAGCTGGCAACTTCTCAACCATCGATAGCCCCACGACCCCTTGCTCCAGATCATCAGCTACAATGCCTGTTCCCTTTAGCAAAACGCGCGAAATCTGCTATCTGCCATCCATGCCAAACAGCTTCTCCTAACATTCCTGCATTTCCGTCCATATAAGAGAACGTGAGTGAAACGGCCAATCTCACGTCGGACGTCTCCACATCTCCCGCAAGTACCAATTTTCGTAGGCCAAGCCACCCCCCACTCAACCCCCGTCCCCCTCCCCCGCCTTGCCCTCCCCCACCCACTGTCGAGTCCCGTGCGCCCCACCCATCAATCATCACCTGATTCCACGGATCGTTTTCTCATTGCCGTTCAAAATAGCGGAAATTACTAAATTTCGG